TTGACTCGAATTTCTGGATCCGTCCCTTAGTCTGTAATATACCAACAATGGGCATCAATTTTTCATTTGAAACCGGAATATCTTTTAATTTTTCATATTAATGGGGGTATCAATTTTTCATTTGGAATGGGAAGTTCCAAATTCATAAATAATATAAAGTCAAATAATATTAAATATATATATTATGTCTTAGTAATTAGAATGTTTTACTTAAACTTATTTCACTTCCGGATCAAACCATAACCAACCAGAACAGATCAAACCTAAACAACTTCGATAGTTATAAAAAGCACAGAGACCATACATTTAGCAAACCAGATCAGTTAAGACAATACCAGTATTCTAAAAGGCACTAAGCACTAGTTGGGAGGTGACTAGCCGCATAACACCTAGCCCACCTAGGCACCAACTAGGGTGCCTAGGCATTTCCTCTATATTTTTTATTTTATTTTTTTCAGTTCCTTTGAATTTCAAAAATCTTTGCTAATGATTTTATAATATTTTGACAATAGAAATAGGTCATACAATCAAGAAATGTAATGGTTTTTGTAGTAAAATTCTCAAAAATGAAATCAATAATGGATAAATAAGATATTTGTGTTTTTAGTCTCTAAAATTGTTCATGTAACATTCTAAAATGTTTATATACATTTAAGTTTTTTTATATGAGAATATGATAGTGAATTTGATAAGTGATGGACAGTGTACACCGGGGGTAGCTTATCCGAGTGGTTATTATGAGAATAACCTAGAGAGAAGTCAGAGCAAGCAAGTAGGAGAGAGAAGCGATTATATTTATGAATTCGAGATGTTCTGGTCCTTTACAATGGGAACAGAGGGTGCTATTTATAGTAGCAATAAATGCGATGAGAGTACATGTGGCGATAATCTAACGGCCGAGGGGTCACCTCAATCGGGGTGGCAACGGCAATTGCACGTTCACCGCATTAAATGCGGTGGGTGGATGTGACGCCGCATTAAATGCGGTGGTTGGCTGTCTCCAAAGGGAATCTTTGATGATTAAGTCTGTTTAGCTGAAGGCTCTTCATGTAGCCGAGGGCTTCGTGTGGCCGAAGGCTCTGTGTAACCGAAGGCTTGGTTCAGCCGAAGGCTCTTCTGATGCCGAGGGCTCAATAGTGCCGAAGGCTCCTGTTTTCTGTCATTTTCTCCCAGTAGCTTCGTATGCTCAAATACGGCTGTTCTGTGAGTTTTGGAGCCTTCGGCCACATTGCCGAATGCACCCGTATGTGAACCGCGGGCCTCCTTGAGCTTGGTCCGCAGCATTTTGGGCCTCCTGTGCTTCCTGGGCTTTGTTGGGCCTGTGATAGAGTAGTAGGAGTCTGTGGGCCGGGGGTTCCTGGGCCATATACTCCATCAATAAGATATACAGAGTAATACTTATTGATCAAAAGGTGTTTTAAGGAAAAAATGGAAAGCATAAGTTGGGTCGGAAAAAGATTTAGCCCGAGCCACCTAGGTGCCCGCCTAGCTCGTCTAGTGGTTGTCCAATTTTTTCCACCGATACCACGAAATCGGGGCGCCCGCCTAGGTGTTGTCTAGGCGGACACCTAGGCCGATTTTTAGCACCATGGATAATACCAAACTAGATCAAATTAGACAAAAAATTCAATCCAATTAAAAACATTTTTAGCCTCTGCGAGAAAGATAATTTCCTTAAATTTGCTAAAAGTTAGATTAGAAAATTAGGAAAATATCCTAAATAGACTTTAAAATATATGTATATTCTGAAACAGGAGCATCATATTTTTATTCCGTAAACAGGAATAATTGCTTTCATGTTTTAACAGTATCAAACTTTAAACATGACAATATTTCCAAGCGTGATAATAATTACTTCTATTTAAAAAATAAAAAATAACAATCCTAATTTGAATTACCATATTTTTACTCATATTTCAAAAAAAATTCCCTAGAAATTTAGACCAGGCAAATAGGCAATAATGCGCTTATCAAATACTCGTGTTTAGTTATTGTTCCGTTTTTAATTTTCAATATTTTAGCATGGTCACATGGTGCCTATGCCGGACTGGGCCCGTTAGTATGTGTATGGGCTTATCAAGTCAAGTAATGATGAAAGGGAATGCAGCGGCACGATACAACGAAACATTGGGGCCTATTTAGGATTGTGTTAGATATGAAAGCTCCCTTTCCAACGAATCTAAGAACTCGTTTGGTAAAACAAAATTGAATGGAGAAGGCATTCAAATGAATTCATGAAGATAATTGTGCTTTTAACTGCACAGTTATCTTCAAGAATTCATTTGAATGCCTTCTCGATTAAGGTTTTGGCTGAAATTTGGTACGAGTAAACTAGACTTAATGAATAAGAGGTTCAAAAAATTTTATCAAAAAAATCCACCGGGAACCTCCCCAAATGGCGACAACCGGACAAATTCTCCTAAATAAGGGCTTATTTGACCTTTTTTGGTTAGTACATGGGCTTATTTGCCCCTTTTCTCAAATTTTAATTAAAATGACTGCTTTAACTGATTCCGCTAATTGATGAAAAATAGAGTAAAAGAAATTTATTAATAAAATAAATAAAAAATTATAAGTCAAAATGGCCTCAACCAAAGATGACTTTGATTTAAAATTGATTTATTAACATGATTAAGAGAAAACATATGAAAAACAGCGAAAATCCTTTTCTACAATAATTTTAATGAATTCAGTTAAAATCGTAACTCTAGTTCTACTTATTTTGATTATAACACAAACACAAAATGAAAGTGGATGTGTTGTAAAAAGTTGACTATTAAAATTGATAAACTGAAACTAAAAGTCCCAAATGAGTTCTAAGAGTCTTTAATAACACCTTTTTTTTTAACTAATCAATCAATTTTTCCCAAACACATGGCTTTTATGAAAACTCCTTATGAATTACGAGTATAAAAAAAATCGAGAATAAGGTGCCCATAAAGTTGCTTTAAAAAAAAGGTGACCACAAAGTTGCTTTCAAAAAAAAGGTGATCATAAAGTTTGGCTAGGTAATATGGAGTAAGAAACATAAGACCGCTACTCTCCATTCAAACTCTTTATTGCAAGTGTTTGGGTTTTAATTCATCAACAATTTACAATCATTTTACTACTTTTATGAGAAAAAAATCGACACCAAGATCACCACAAGGTTTGGCTAGACAATAAATACATATGACCGCTACTCTCCATTCACACTCTTCATTGTATGAGAAAATGTATACAGGAGTATCTCCGTATATTTCTAGTGTATGAGAACATAAAGGTCAGTGCAGACGAACAATTGATGAATTGCGTTGCTGGGAAAGGAAATACTGTATGGAACACGGGAAGGGAAATGTGTCAAAAGAATTTATAGAGTTTACAGTTTCTAAGAAGTGTTTGAATCAACTTTTTAAAATATTTTTAGCACATGCATAATATTATTGTGTTTCATCGTTTGAGTGAAAGTATAAGAATACTTCTGTATTCAAATTACACAATAGAAGCAATTTTTAAGTTGGGGAAAACCACTCGGTTTTGAATAACCGATTTTAATTCACTTCTACTTTTACAAAAGGAAAAAAGACAGAATCAATATACGGAGTAATAAATTTCAAACAAGGTAAGGGTCAATTGAGTACGTCAACTTATGAGGTGCAGTAAAGAGTATATAAACTCGGTGTTTAGTGTTAACTGAATACTCTCATTAGATTAACACGTTAATATAGTTGAATGGACTAACTGAATACTAAATAAGAAGGGGTAATCGATCACGTTTATGGCGTCGACCTTCATGAAATCAACCAAAGAGGGAATGTTGACCTTTAGAGGTCGGCTTGTGGGGGGCGTCGGCTTGGGGGTGGGGTGGGGGGGCGTCGGCTTGGGGGTGGGGTGGGGGGCATCAACTTGGGGGGGCCGGCGTCGACCAAGTGAAAGTCGACCAAGAGGTCAAAGGCTAACGTCAAGCTTCAAGAAGTCAATATAATCAGTTCTAAAAGGCGCTAGGCGGGCGTCTGCCCAGCGCCTAGTGCCTAGTCGGCTAGGCGGGCGCCTGCCCAGCGTCTAGCGCCTAGTCGGCTAGGCGGACGCCTAAGCGTGGAATAATCGGATACATAAAAATTGTTGTTTTATCAATATTTTTGCATAAATATGATTAGTAACGTTGTGTTTGTGTGTGTATATAAAATACACACATACATACACATTAAAATGCATGAATGATAGAGTTATCCCATTTAATAATATATTATATCTACTCACTTACTCACTAATAGCTTTCTTCACACGCGTTGTCAAAATTAAATTTATATACTTCCTTCGTTCTTTAATTCTTGCAACATTGTAACTTTTGCACTATTCACAGACCTTACTTTGACCATGATTTTCTACTAATATACATACTCAAATTATTACGTATAAAATGTTATTGAGTTCCTATCAATGTGAATTTCCAAAATATCAACTTTTTATAATGTTTACTAATACATAATTAAATATAATTACAGTCAAAGTTGTGCGTTGGCAAACGTGAAAGTCAAACTGTTGCAAGAATTAAAGAACGGAGAATAGTATATCTTTTAGGATACTAAAAAAAATGTTTGATGAATCTAGACACCTAGGCGGCCCATTAAGCGCTCTAGGCAGGCAACTAGCGCCTTAGGCGGCCGACTAATTCACCTAGTCGTCGAATCAATTAGTCGGAGCGCCTAGACTAAAATCGGGGCGAGCGACCACCGCCTAACGCCTAGGCAAAGACTAGCCGGGCGCCTAGAGCGATTTTCAGAACGGTGGGCGTACCCATTAGCACTAAAAACCGAGTTTGTGTGCTTAGAAATATGAGATGCAATATAACGTACTCTTTAATTCACCTCAAAGAGGTACTCAATTCACCCTTTCCTAAATTTAAACCCTAAACCCTAGACCTTTTCCTCGATTTCAAACACCCCCATTCTTTAGCAAGAGTTCAATTTCACGGGGTTTTCTTTCTTTAATGAAAATCTTCCATTAGAGGCAATTCTGTTGAGAAGTTAAAGTTTATTGGTCGATGCAATTAGGCAAAAAGACCTCCATCCAGCTCCAGTAACATAATAATACAATGAATCTGTTAACAGAGAACAGATTGATTGCCCTCAGGCCAGCAGCCATTCCCAGCAAGACTACTCTGGCCGGCAACTAAATAATATGATCATCAGCTGAGTAACATGTCAAGTTTTAGAGTAAAAATCTAATCCCACACCTGCCAGTCAATCTGATTAGCTTTCCTACTTGTTTGTGACGGTGACGCCGAGCTTTCCGGCAACAATCAAGGTGGTAGCCATATCCAGAAACATTCCGTGCTCAACCACACCTGCAAGCCTCAAAATCGCATCGCTCGCGGCCTTCAAATCCCCCATTTCCTTCTCGAAAAACAAATCAATGATATAGTTACCATTGTCCGTCACGAAGGGTTCCTCGGCTGCCTTCTCGCCTCCGCCGCGGCTTGTTCTGAGCCTCCCAACGCAACCCGCCTCCATAAACAGCATCTCAAGCCTCTTCAGCGTGAATTTCCAGCAGAACGGGACAATTTCGACCGGCATAGCCAGCCCGCTCCCTCCCAGATGGCCTACCAGCTTCGATTCGTCAACAATCACCACGAATTTCTTACACGCGGCCTCCACCATTTTCTCCCGGAGAAGCGACCCGCCCCGTCCCTTTACCAGATTCATATGCGTATCGACCTCATCTGCGCCGTCGATTGCCAGATCTAGAATCGGGTGGGAATCTAGATCCGATAACGGAATCCCCAGAGAGACGGCCTGCTCGTGAGTCATCCGCGAAGTTGGTATCCCGACGATGTTCTTCAGCTTACCTTCACTCAAAAGCTCTCCGATACGGGCCACGGCGTGCTTCGCGGTGGAGCCAGTGCCCAGGCCGACCACCATGCCGGATCTCACATACTCCACGGCCTTGTAGGCGGCAAGTTTCTTCAGTTCGTCCTGGGTGAGCATGGCGGCGGACAGGGACGACGATTCAACCACCACCGACGGCGTCTCCACCGTCTTCCGCTTCTCTGAACCCAATATATGACGGTATGCAACTGCCATATCGGAAAGAAACCGATTTCAGCAAAACAAAAGGGGTTGCAAAAGAATTGGGCCTTCGGAAGAGTCCAGTGGCTAGAACATGAATGCGAGATGGAATGTGGAAGGGGAATTGCTTCCTGGAGATTGGAGGGCGGAGGACGACGGACATTGGAAGGCGTATAAATAGCAAAAAGAAAGGATAGAAGGGAATCCCTTTTGATACTCCGAATTGGCTTATTTTCAATTTTATTAGCCTTTGGGACTTTGTGCACTCCGTGTCTGGTACAACGTTTGCCGCAATTAGAATTTTAGCCCACTTGATTTGGGCATTTCGCTGATACAAAAAAAAGGAGGATAAAAAAAATATACTCCCACCAAAAGTAAATAAAATGAAAATGTACGGTTTTCGTTGAATAAGAAAAAGGTAAATGAATGTGAGACACACAAAACTTTCCAAAAAAATGAAAACTATTTTTTGGGACGGCCCAAAAAAGAAATCGAGAACTATTTTGCGGAACGGAGAGAGTAATAGGAATGACATCAATCTTTATTAATCTCTTAAATAATTATTTTTTGAAAAATATCGTTAAATTCATTCCTCTTAAATTGTTAAAAACAAGGTTTTTAGTGATACTGAATTAAATATATAATGGTTATAATTGTGCAATAATGTAAATTTGTAGGGTACGCTCCGATGAGAAATGAGTTCTAGAAAAAAATAAGAATAACATCTGACCATTCATTTATTTGTAGGATGACTATTTTTATATACTCTCTCCTTCCCAAAATTAACTTTTCACTTTCCTTTTCGGGCATTCCCAAAATTAACTTCACACTTCAAAATTTTCCTTATTTGGCAAATAATCTACATCAAAAAAGTGTCAAACAGTGCCAAACAGTGTCCAAACAATGTCAAACGGTGTTTAAACAGTGTCCAAACAATGTCAAACAGTGTTTAAACAGTGCAAATCAGTGTACTCCACATTAAAGTCAAATTTATTTTCTTAATCTGTGTAAAGTCAAACTGTGAACTTAATTACGGGACGGAGGGAGTAGGAATTAAGACTTTCGCTCACTAATACGGTCAAAGTGGCTAGGTTTTAAAATGTGATGTAGTCCTCGGCAAATTAGTGATTATGTACATGCTCAATGGTAATATTACATTATTACATGCAGGGCCGTTTCAAGAGATAAGTAGGCCTGAGGTAAAAAGTTAAATGCGGCCTTTATTTTTTGGGGGATTTCAAATGTCAAAGGAATTTATTTATTTTCACTAGAAGGAAATTAAAGTCATCAACTTCTCTCACCTCATTGATAATATGAATATCATTAACATGTGCATCTTGTTCTCCCTCAATTTCTACGCTACTTTCAAGTGAGGTGGATGCACCAATTTGCTTATTACTAATGAAAAACTTATCCTATTCCGATGTACCAAAAAAAATGAAAAACTTATCAGTTCCCCTTCTTGGGATTTAATTAAGGTTTGATTTTTTTTTTTTAATTTTTGATACCCACTTTCATATTTTCGATTGGACATGACAATAGTTTAATTGAACAAAATTTGATAATGCAAACAATATCTTGAATTAAGGAGTTAATAAAACAAAAAATAAACAAATAATGACTGGATTAGGAAATTAAAATACAGACCAGATTGATAGAACCTGATCAAAACTTTGATACTACCTCCGTCCCGGTGGACTTTGTCATGTGCAAAGTAGGTAAGAAATAAGAATAGGAAAAACTGTGTGGTTAAGATTTGTGCAGAAGAAAGAGAAATCTGTAGAACCACAAATTAGTTGCTTTAATAGGAAAATGACAAAGTTTTTTGGGACAACCAAAAAAGGAAAGTTTGCAAAGTTCAATGGGACGGAGGGAGTATATGAAAGCAATAGACAAATTCGGTGAAAAATGGGGTTGTAGCAATTTCAGGAGAGAAGCTTTGTGGCACCCGGCGGCAAGCACTCAAAGTCCACCTGAAGTCTGGAGAAGTGTAGTCTCGTATGCAAGGAAAGATTTGAGAGAGAAATAAGAGGATAAAATAATTACAAATGCTTTAAATAAATAATTGGTATATCTTATCTTATCTTACAAACTTATAAGGGAAAATTACCCAAATAAGACACAAAGCTAATAACTTTCTTAAATTAGGACTACAAACTTCCGTATGACTAAACATGAAAGTAATTGACAGGAATGCCCTTATTTATCTCTCCGGTGATCATCAGTTTGTGCAATTCTCTGCCGTCCTTGTCGCCACTGACCAGAAGACATCGCCTCCGTCCGTTTCAAATCAGCTCCGGGCGAATCTCTAGCACCGGAGTTCTAGAACTGGTTAGCGAAGTAAATTCCATAAACCTTGCAACTTTTTTCGGCCATGCATGAATCGCTGTGTGCTAGATACTGCTTATGGATCCATGATCCATCTATTTTGCTATCAATTTCTCCTTTTTGATGCAAATCAATTTGCTGTTGTGACTTAAGAGGTAAATATTATGAATATGTTTAAGTATTTATGAAATCTAAGTTTAGTTGATTCATATAACTTGTGAATAAAGAATTAGATGTCGGGTTCAAATTGAGAACTCCTAAAGGCCATTCTGAATCTCCCACGGTAGAAGGCTCCACTAAAAGAAATTAAAATTAAGGACCTTCTTATGGGCATTAATCAGTCCGTAATAAGACATTAATTTTAACTATATGCCTACACATCTAACAACCAAGAAATTTGAGTATGTAACAAAAAACAAAAATACATCAAATCAAATGCCAAAATACCATAACAATTAACATAATGTACAATGCCAACAAACCATGGCAGTCAATAATAGTGGGGGGAAAAGTAATAAAAATCTTACAAATGTTAGTGCGTGATAAAATTAATAAAAGTCTTACAAATCACTCACTTGGCATTGATAAATGTCAAGTAATCTCGAATACAAACAAATGAGACCATTTCTCAACACCTATCTAATACAAATAATCTCGAATACAATATCTTCTACATTTAATGGCTCCAAGTACTTATCAAATTGAGGGGTAGCAGCCCTAGTAGCCTGCCTGATTAAACTTCCATGCAAGAAGACCTATAGTAGAGCCCTTGAATATTGTCCTAATATTTCCTAGCGGGTGGTACACACAGTAGTCATGCTCAACGTGTTGAAACACCTCTTTTGTCGCATGTATAATACCCCTGTGATGATATGAAACAATACATCAAGTCATGCTTATACGCAAGGCACACTTTCAGTTTCGTAAAAACCAATTCCATGTTTTCTTTTGCTCAGTATTACACACCCCAAAAGCCAAAGGAAAATGTGTTTGTTAGCATCTTGAGCACATATTGTTAGTAGATTACCCTTGTAATATGCTTTTACAAATGTAATATCTGGTTGATGTATGCAATAAAGTCTATAAGTGGACAGTAACTAGTCCTTAAAGGCATAAATGTAGACATTAAATGCATCTAGCTAGAATAAGTACAACTTTACTACAAAACTATAAAGTAACTATGAAAAAAACTATAACTATAAAGTAACTATGAAAAAAACTTGCAAACACTAGACAATACATAGACAATAAATAGTCAGTAAATAGACAATAAGTTCTGATAATCAGAGAACCTTTACAATTCAAAGCTAGAATACTGATGCATCTGAGAATTTGTTTGGCCAAATTCTAAGAGTCCTCAGACCAGTTCAAGTATCTAGAAGATGATTCTCATTAAAATAGAGTTGTGTAGTTTAAGCTGTGAATTCTGACTAATCAAACAAATATGACATTTATTTTAACAGAGTTTCAAAATTTTCAAGATGGAGGCTAAGTTAGCAAAGAGTGCAAGCTCCCATGATTTCCAATTATAAACCTTTTTCTCTTACGTGATTAACCACTTCCCTTGGGGCGTTGGTTAGGAAGACCCTAAATTTAATGGCTTTTCACCCATAATGGGAGGTCTATCAAAGGTATGGGAGTACTCCATCCAATGGGAGTACTCCATCCAATGCATACCCAAAGTTAACAACATTGCAGAAAACATTTACCTTTCCTCTCATCTTATGACAAGATATTGGAATAAAGAACAAGTGAGCCTCATCTGGATCGTTTGTAACAAACTTACTCTCCCTGATATTCTGAAAAAAATAGCCCTCGCTGGCGTACTTTCCCGTCAGCTTCCTTGGAGTCTGATAAAACGTATTCGGATCACCATCTGGATATATATACACCTTGAACTTTTCCTCCATTTCGGCATAGTTCAATCTGAATACATCCGGTGAATGATACACATCTGACAATTTATTCTCCACAGGTGATGATAACTCCTCTGGTGCTTCAATAAATTTCGAACTTTCAGTGAAATTAGATGCCGAATTTATTACCTAAATGAAGATCAAGGACTTCGTGAATGAGCTATTTCCTATTCTAATCAGAGATGTTTAGAATGAAATGTATTGAAGATTTTACCAGGCCGTGTTGGAAAGGAGAAGGATTTATGGAGGTTCCGAGCGAAGGTGAATTCAGAGACTTCAGCGAGATGCAACTGAAGGAGACTAAAGTTAGAACGGCAAGGGTGACGATGGAGCCTTGAATTGGAGAGTGCAGACGGCGGCAAGAGATGTCGGTAACGGTGAGTGTTTGGCCGCCGACATTGCCGGCGGTGGGTGGAATTAACGATTTTGAAGGAAGCTGCCGGTTCTGTGATGTCAGAAGTAACTCGGGAGCAGAAAGAAATTGATCGTGAATACGCTACCTTAAGTGGAGGATAAAAGGGGAAACTAAAAATTAAGTTTCCTAAGATAGGAGTAAATAAAGCTTACGGATGGGAGAAAACAAACTAAGTCCTAATCTTGTAAAGTTGGTATGATCTTATTCAATTTTCAAACATGACATGCATATAGTTCTTCGAGAAAATTGCTGTTAGTAAGACTAAATCATACCAACTTTACAAGATTAGGACTTAGTTTGTTTTCTCCCATCCGTAAGCTTTATTTACTCCTATCTTAGGAAACTTAATTTTTAGTTTCCCCTTTTATCCTCCACTTAAGGTAGCGTATTCACGATCAATTTCTTTCTGCTCCCGAGTTACTTCTGACATCACAGAACCGGCAGCTTCCTTCAAAATCGTTAATTCCACCCACCGCCGGCAATGTCGGCGGCCAAACACTCACCGTTACCGACATCTCTTGCCGCCGTCTGCACTCTCCAATTCAAGG